TTCAACTTAAATTATGATGAAAAATGTAGCCACTTATTTTCTTAGAAAATCTGACAATTCTCCATTGCATCAGTAGTAATCTTTCTTGTTTTACTAACCATTCAATCACACTCCATCTTTGTCATTTAATCTTTTATTTAACAGCTATTTACTCAGAAAATGAAAATGAACGAAATGAAAGTTCATCAAGTCACACCTTGAATTTTTTAATGGGTATATGATTATAATTTACTTATTGAATTCATTGGATATAAATAGAAGAGGGGCTTTGTCATTGAGCTTCGAAGTAAAGATTATCACTCCAATTTGTTTCATAAAATTTCTCACACAAATTTGTTATTGTCTTCAGAAACTATTAAAAAGTACATAACTCATATATTCTCATTTTTCTCTTCTTTAATTACCTTCATGCAGTTTTCAGAAATAATATTGTGATTATTACACATTTCCCAACAAATTTTAGTATCCACTCATGTCATATGAGAACCACCAATATTTTTATTTTCGTCTCTCAGCAGCTATCATTATTACCTTTAAGAATAAAAATTCTGTAAGAAAAAATTGGTTTAATGCCACGGTTACACTTTTACATTTCATTAGTGGAAAACTTAATTCTACGTTGGAAATGAGCATGGAAAATACTGAGCTCAAGTAGTTAAAAGTTAGCTGCGACGTCCTTTGCGGTCCACTATGGCTCTTGCCGCCTGGTGCCCATGGGCTACTTCCAGGTGCTTCTGGGCTCGTCAGAATAAGTTCCTTTTCGTCCCATGACCCTGCTAAAGGTTCACACATCTGTAAACACCCCATACACTTGATCTCTCATTTTTCTTCCGAATTTTCCGAGTGCTTTGCAAAGTTCATAAAGTTTTGTTTCATTATTGAGAGTTTCCTAAATTCTAGTATTGTTCGTGAAGTCTTGTATAGTTTAAATATTACTGTATATAAGATAAAAGTCGTTGTATCTTCGTGGTGTGTGCTGTGAACCGTGGGTATTGGGTATTTTTATGGTGCAACTTCATCTTAAGGAGAGTGTTTCTAACGTGTCTTGACTTTGATCGACTTGTTTGAGTTTTTTTCTTTTACTTCTGCCATCCAGAAATTTCCAAATCAAATTAATGACAAATTCATCACATCCTAATATTCATCCTTTTTATTTGATAAATGCCAATCTTTGACGTTGGTGTTTGCAGCTGAGGCAAATGGCCGGCATTCTAATGCTTTTATTCGGGTCTTAAAATATTCCACAGGAGGTGTTCTTGAAGTAAGTGTCAGATTCTTTCCATTTCGACTGAAATGATCTATAATATATTAATGTGTGGTATGTTCTTGAAACCGAACTGAAGCACAAGTACGTATATGGCCAAGTGATGACATTATTACAATGGCAACAGTTTGTACATTGGTTATTAAGACAACTATCAAACAACACTAGTAAATTGAACGACCATAATGAGACCAACAACTTGGCAAATTTATAGCTTGACTAAAAGGAGAACCACTTTTTGAAGTCCTACTCATACATTTGTTAACTTCAAAGTACGTATTACTGGCTCACATATATTAATTTCTTCAACTCATATAGCCTGCAAAACTATACAAGCTGAAGCATCTGTCGAAAGTGGAAGTCATATCGAATGATCCAAGTGGATGTACCTTTATGCTGGTAATACACATTGAGTTTTTTTTACCTTCTCACCATATTTGTTTCATTCAAGATTTAACGTTTACTTCATATGGTATACTCATGTTATGGGTCTGGTTAATGTTTATATTTTCTTAAGGGTTTCGATAACCTCAGAAGTCAGAGTGTTGCTCCACCTCAATGGACAATGCGCAATGTTGATGACAGGTATGCTACGTATCCTGGTTTTGCTGTCCCATCAATAACTGGAAATTACTTACGATTTTTTTCTCTTTGCTAATTATTGTTTTATTTGATTTCTTTCTTCACTGTTCTTACAGGAACCGTCTTCTGCTTTGTGTCTTAAACACCTGCAAGGACATGTTGGGTCGTCTTCCTAAAGTAGTTGGCATAGATGTTGTGGAGATGGCTCTTTGGGCCAAGGTACGTGGTGACATGATTCGTCTGTCTTTTTCCTCATGCATTGCTTGTTTAACAATAGCTAACTCAAAATTTATCTATGACATGTTTCTGCAAGTTTTAGCCATTGGTATTTGATATATATTTTTGTTCCTTTCATTCATATTCACAACAAGCTTACTGATGTCTCCTCCAGAAGGGCTCTGTAAATACCATCAGTTTTTTTGTATTATGCTTTTCATGTTACTAGACTGACATATGTTTTGTATTAATACAGAATCTTGTGCTCAAATCTTACAAATAGTATTCTTTATGCCAACTGATTTCAGCCTATATGCATCAGATCAAACCATTTTTATGCTTAATGAATATCATATGCGTAATCGGATGAGTTTACAGATTTTTTATTGATATTCATAGTTCCAGCATTGTTTCCATTTCTCTTAAGCTTGGAATTTATTTTGTCATTCAGGAAAACACACCGGTCATTGCTAAGAAACAAAGATTCCTTCCAGATGATCCTGCTGTGGCTGCAGTAGCAGAAGACGACACAAAGGTGACAGTTGAAAGAGAACTGGTGTCTCAAGCTGAGGAAGAGGACATGGAAGCTCTTTTAGGCACGTATGTAATTCAACTTTGAAATTTGACACACTCTTCTGATTTGTACCTTATCAGATATAGATATCTGCTCTTAAATGCAGTTTTATGGACTCAACCAATAATTTTATATTATAATTGGAGAAAAGTATTGTTGGAAGAATTTCCTGATGTTGTCGGAGAGCAGTAGATTCGAATTTTGGCATGTAAGAGGGGGATAAAACTTCTAAGCTGTTTTGATGAGAAACTTAAGAGCAGAGTGCTGAAAGCCCATGATCTTGTAGAGTGCTAATCTAAATTGAACATTAGAATTTGTTTTTTCTGGCTATAGTGCTAAATGACCCATGATTTTATAGATCCATGAATTGAAGTTAAAGGAAGTATTTAGTATTCATCATGTATGATGGTTGGTTTGGTTAGAGATCCACCTTCATGTTCCATTTTTTTAAGTTAAAGTCATATTTTTTACTTCTTTTTTCCTTTGTTCTAAAAGAATGGTGTGTGTATATTGGTTTTTAGTCAATGAATACAAATAATACTGGTACTTACCAATTACGAGTGATAGCATGCTGCATATGTTAGATATATCATTTGACCTTCTGACCCTTACTTTAGGTAAGCTCTATTTGAGAATTTATCTTTACAGAACAGTTTTACAGTCCTTCAGCCTGCTTCCTTGTTCTGTTCTGCTTTCCCTTTTATGATTTTGGAATTGGGAGCTAGACTGCTATCTTCTCGTACTTTGTTACTACATTTATTATTGTTTGAACCATGAGATGATGAATTTGGCACTTGCTAACTCGCAGCTATGTCATGGGCATCGGTGAAGCAGAGGCATTTTCTGAGAGGTTAAAGAGAGAGCTTCAAGCATTAGAAGCAGCTAATGTGCATGCGATATTGGAGAATGAGCCTTTAGTAAATGAGGTAATCTACACATTTGCATGTGATTGGTGTTATAATTCATCATGGTTGTGTTATTCCCCCCGTTTTGTACTCCACATATTCCTTTTTTCTTTGCAACTATCACTTATGTGCCAGAAGGATCTCCCTTTTCTTCTTACTATATTCCGGTTTGGTTAAAGTAATGGTAAGAGGTGCTGCAAGGCTTCTTACTGGTACTACTGTATGACTTTTGTAATTAGGTGTGGCTAGATGAAGCTGCACCATGTTATCATCTAAAGGAACAGTTGTGCCAGTTAGTCAGATTGTCTTGATAAATTTGTTTACTAATTTACATTCTAATTTCTACATGTTCCGCAGATATTACAGGGGCTTGAGTCCGCTACTGACTGTGTTGACGAGATGGATGAATGGTTAGGAATTTTCAATCTAAAACTAAGACACATGAGAGAAGACATAGAATCGGTACAGATCTCTACTCCTTTATATATGATTTGAATTATATTTTTATACGAGTTGAAAATTTTTGTCATTTTATGTGTCGAATAGTTTTTATATTGCTGCCATGCTTTTGGTCCATTATCAAGTCCAGTCTTATAACCATGGTTTAGAAAACCGGCCTATACACCGGTCCGGTTCAATGAGTTAAACCGGGTGAGCCGGGACCGGTTCTCACGGGCCTGACGGTTGTGTGAAATGACTTTATGTAGAAGTTTCTACCAAAATACAAAATTGAAAACACACACACACAAAAAAAAAGAAAAAAAAAAAAGAATCTCAATAGACAATTTGTTGAAGATAAGATGTAAGACTCCTAATTTCTATCATACTTATGCCCTGCTTCTCCAACTGCAATGTTGCTCTTGCGCGATCGACGCTCACTTGAAGTGCGAGAGGAGAAGAGGTAGGTTAGGTAGAGACTACCATGTTTCTTCAACAAACAAAAATAAAAAATAAAAAAAGAAAGATCAAATCAAATCAGAGAAGATAAAAGAAGAAATGAGAAGAGAACAAATAGAATACAGAACAAGAATAATTGAGGTATTGGGGTCATGTGGTTGGATGGGAGTTTCATTCTGATTTTTTGTGGCGACTGATTAGTGATTAGGGTTCACATACTTTTATCTTAGTTTTATTATATATTATATTTATTGGGTTGGGCTTGGAATGAAGTTTCAACTTTAATGTAAATTACTTATTAAGTTGGGCTATATTTCAACTCATTTACCTATTTGAGCTTAGTAGATTCAAATGAAAAATACATTTTTAATATAATATATATATATATATATATATAAGTTATTATTAGTTTGTTTAAGTATTTGAATGTTTTAAAATTTAAATTGGCTGAATATTTAATTATCAAAGTTTTCGTATATAATTTTTATTATATAAAATATTATATATGGTTAAAAATACTAATAATATAAAATACCGGTCCAACCGGTTCAACCACTGGTGAACCATCGAACCAATAGTTTGACCGTTTGATGACCAGTCCGGTTTTTAGAACCTTGATTATAACTACTTGTGATTGCTGTTTTTATATTTCCTTACCGTATTTTGGTTATTTAGATAAAATTAATCCGGAATTCACATTTGAAGACTCAAACTGAAATGTAGTGGTCCATTTGTAGTCTGCCACCACGCTAAAATATATTTTTTATTTCCTTACTGTATTTGGATTATTTAGATAAAATTATTCCAGAATTCACATTTGAAGACTCAAAACTGAAATTGTAGTGGTCCATTTGAAGTCTGCCACCACGCTAAAATATATTTTTTTGATGTGCAGATAGAAACCCGAAATAACAAGCTGGAAATGCAGTCAGTAAACAATAAATCATTAATTGAGGAACTTGACAAACTTCTTGAAAGACTACTTATCCCATCTGAGGTATTTTCACAGTTGCGACATTTTATCTTATAAATGTTAGATTTCAAGCTTATTGCTTAACTCCCTACACTGAGGAATTGGGGTTTTTAAGTTTGTCTTTTCCTTTTAAATGCAGTATGCAGCTTGTCTTACAGGGGGCTCATTTGATGAGGCTTGCATGATTCAGAATATAGAAGCATGCGAGTGGCTGACCAATGCTTTACGAAACATTGAAGTTCCCCAATTGGATCGTTGTTATGCAAATATGAGATCTGTATGTAGATGATCTAGTTCCTCCCTTTTTTCTTTTTATGTTTAATTGTAATTTGAAGACTGACTTTGATTGGTTTACAAGGCTGATCTTGAGGCTATAAATCTAAATATTCGCTGATGTAATAGTTTCATACACCCACACATTTATGTATATATAGATATAGATATTTTTATAAGATAGCTTGCCTCATACCTGGAATCAAATTTGACGATTCTAGTGATATAAGACCTGTAAAGCGACAAAAGAGATTAGCTGTGAGCTTATGTGTGTTGGATAATTATTGGGATGACGTCACTCATTGGCAATTGTGGGTAAACTCACAGGTTAAAGAGAAGCGAGCAGAACTCGACAAACTGAGAAACAATTTTGTTAAAAGAGCATCCGAGTTCCTAAGGAACTATTTTGCTAGTTTGGTGGATTTCATGATAAGTGATAAGAGTTACTTCTCTCAGGTATTGCCATGAAGAGGTACTTAGTGACAACTTACTTGGTAAAACAAAATGTAACTATTTTGTTATTCCTTGGTGAATAACAGCGTGGGCAATTGAAGAGACCTGATCATGCTGATTTGCGGTATAAGTGCCGGACATATGCTCGCCTTTTGCAACACTTGAAGGTTCGGAAAGAGCTGTTACTGATTTATATCATATTCTCATTATTCTTGTTTGATTTAGTATCCCTTTCTCTCTCATTTTCTACGTGTTTGCAGAATCTGGATAAGAAATGCTTGGGCCCATTGAGGAAAGCTTACTGCAGCTCCTTGAATTTACTTCTACGTCGGGAGGTCTGGAAATATATGTTTTATGGAAAAGACATGCAATTTCTTGTCACTGTTAAGTTCATCAGGAAGCTATAAACATTTATATTGTTCAGAAAGCAACTCTATTGAATGTGAATATGCTATTTTGCCTGGAATCTGATTTATCTCTCCTTGTAAGTCTTATTAGCCGGTAATTGTGTGGGGATCCTATTGGCGGTGCAAATTATGTACCAGCACATTATTCTGTGGCAATCAATATAACATTTTAGTTAGATCTTGTGGATGAATGTCTATGTCAGGATTGTAACTTTTTTATGCTTTCACATTGTATAGTAATTTTCATTCCCTTTGCCAGGCTCGGGAGTTTGCAAATGAACTTCGTGCTAGTACAAAAGCATCAAGGAATCCTACTGTATGGCTTGATGGTTCTACAGGCTCTAACCATAGTGCAAGTAGTGCTGATACTTCTACAGTCTCTGAGGCGTATGCTAAAATGCTCACAATTTTTATTCCGCTCCTTGTAGATGAGGTTATACTTAGGCTTTGAATCTCTATGACATGCTGTATTCTGTGTCTAGTTTCTTTCCTAATGAGAGGCTTTCTTCTTATATTCTTTTGATAATAAAATGCAGAGTTCTTTCTTTGCGCATTTCATGTGCTTTGAAGTTCCAGCTCTCGTTCCACCTGGAGGTCTTGCCAACGGAAACAAAACTGTACCCGATGATGATGATAATGATGATGATTTGGGAATCCTGGACATTGATGACAATGACAAAGCCGGTAACTCTTCATTTTTTAATCTTTTATTTTTTGTTGTTTCTATTTCCTTCTTTAGTCCATTGGATAGTAATCATTCTTGTGCAATGTTGTAGGTAAAAAGCCTTCGGACTTGCAGGAATTAAATGACTCACTGCATGATTTACTTGATGGAATACAGGTAAAGATGATTTGTAATCTGCAATTGTTAATTATTTTATTCACAGAGAAATTCCCTTAATTTTGTCTTCTTCCTCTTTGTTTCCTCTGTTGAAATGTTTTAGGAAGATTTCTATGCTGTGGTGGACTGGGCATACAAGATCGACCCTCTGCGTTGTATATCCATGCATGGAATAACCGAACGCTATATCTCGGGTCAGAAAGCTGATGCGGCAGGATTTGTGCGCATTTTACTTGATGACCTTGAGAACAGAATTTCCTCACAGTTTAGTCGTGTAAGTTGTTTCTTCTAAAATGTATCTGTATGCTTTGTGATTTGAAATGAAAAGCAGAATAAATTTTTATTGATCTTATAATACTTCCTTTCAAATCTTCTGAGAGTGACCTTATATAAAAACAGATCAAGGCTAATGCTTCCTAGTTACCGTATCTTAATGGACGGTAATATAGATAAAGGCTGCCTTAAATTGCTGGAAAAGAAGCTGAAATAATGAAATATCCTATTTAAATGAGAATTATAAATCATATTCAATTTAGCAGTTCCTGGAGATGCTTGCTTGTGTTTGTGAACTCATACCTACCTTGCCCACCTTGTCTATAAATTTCGAGTGGTATTAAATGTATGGATGGGGAAGACATCAGTAAGATTACTGATAAAGGAATATAAGCAACAAGTAGAACCATTGTAATTCTCTGTTGGAAACTATGTGTACCACTTCTGTTTATGTATGAAATTTGACTGATGATCTTCTTACCTAATATATATTATGGATATCAGTTTGTCGATGAAGCTTGCCACCAGATTGAAAGAAATGAGCGAAATGTCCGACAGGTGGGAGTTTTGTCATATATCTCCAGGTAATATCAACCTAATTTCTCGTACTATTTCTTGACTGCATTAATTGATCCAGGAGGTTCATACTAAAGAGTTGGTGTTTCGTAATTAAACTAACATTCTTCAAATTGCAAACATATTTCCAAAATTGAACTTGTTAGTATGCAATGGGTATTTCTTATTCTTATTTTCAAATTTCTCATGGAGATAAGGATGTTATTTCAAATGACAGTTTGGTTTTTATGTCTGTCATAGATTAATTGTCGAGCAAATGTTTCGTTTCTTGCTGAAATCATTTGTGTTTGTATAGTGGATTTTGTATTAGATTCAGTTTAAAGACATGGGAGATGTATATGTAATGGGTATTTCTTATTCTTATTTTCAAATTTCTCATGAAGTTGGTAAGGATGTTACTTCAAATGACATTTTGGTTTTGATTTCTGTCATAAATGAACTATCGAGCAAATATTTTGTTTCTTGCCGAACATTTGTGTTTGCGCATAGTGGATTTTGTATTAGGTCCCCTGCATGACTTTTTCTCTCTTTATTTTTGGTCCTGAGTTGTCTCTACTTTAATTTATTTGTTTATTTGTGTTCTCAAGTATACAGTTTCAGGAATATTTTTTTTAGCACTGCAGGTTGTAGCTTTCTTGGCATTCAAAAATTTATTTTGTGTCATGCATAATTTTCATTGCGGGTTTTACTCTTTGCTTAGATTTGCTACTCTGGCAACCCGCATGGAGCAGTACATACAGGGACAGTCGAGGGATTTGGTTGATAGGGCTTACACAAAGTTTGTAAGTGCTTTCAAGTATTTTTAGCTTTATCTGCCAGTTATTGAACATTCATATCTTCGTTATAATCTGGCTGCATATTTACTATTTAGTGATGTTGATGTATATACTATATAGTTTCTAAAGTTCAGTTCCTGGGTGAAAGTGTATACCCATGCAAAATATAATTCAAAATGTTTATTTACTATGTGTACTATGAAATACTTGCCCTTTATCTTAGAAGGGATTCTTGTGAGGGTTCGTTTAGTTTAATTAACTATGTTTTCACGAACCTGTTAGATGCACTTCCCTAATTTATGCACATTATTGATATTTCTAAGATTGTCAAAATCATATTTTGGCAGGTGACAGTAATGTTTGTGACATTGGACAAAGTTGCTCAAGCGGACCCAAAATATGCAGATATTATTCTGTTAGAAAATTATGCAGCATTTCAGAACAGGTACTGCTATCAGGGTCTAAGTCTCACTTGAACTAATTTATGCTAATGGGTTATCTTTTGATTTTGGTGAAGAGTCAGTCTTTTATTGCTTCTGAGCTAGTTATTCACAAGCTGGTTTGAATTTGCAGTCTGTATGACCTTGCTAATGTTGTGCCAACTTTAGCTAAGTTTTACCATCAAGCAAGTGAATCTTATGAACAGGCTTGCACACGCTTTATAAGCACAATCATATACTATGTAAGTTATTCTCTCTTTCATATGTAGCTATAATTGCTCTGTTCCTGATTCTTGTGAATACGACACCAAGCTTTCACTTTTAATTTGATGAATAAGGCATTCTCATCTAAGTTTGTAATGAATTTGATTTTATGGTACCAGAAGAAGTAAATATATTTTCTTACATGCAGCAATTTGAGCGACTCTTCCAGTTTGCTCGCAGAATAGAGGATTTAATGTATACAATTACACCTGAGGAGGTTAGTGCGTGAAGCATTTTATATGGCCTTATCCAACAAGATCAACTATTAGTCTGTTGTATTTTACTTATCTTTTTTTACTTGCATATGGTGATATTTTATTTGGACACTTTTAATGTATGGAAGTTTTAGGTTCTAGCTCTTGCTATGTTGAGCACTCGACATTTGTGTTCTTTTTTTCCAATGGATCCAACTGCAAATTGTTTAATATTAAATAAAATTAATTTTCAGATACCATTTCAGCTCGGGTTGTCAAAAATGGATCTGCGCAAGGTTGTAAAATCAAGTCTATCTGGGGTATGACAGTCTACTGACCTTAAGAGTTAGCATCTGACTCGAACAATATATATTTTTTGAAAAAAAAAAAAATGTTAATTGTGTTTATCAGGTTGACAAGTCTATTAGTGTCATGTATAAGAGATTGCAGAAGAATTTGACTGCAGATGAACTATTACCTTCATTATGGGACAAGTGCAAGGTAATTCTGTCAATTAATTACTTCTTTTTCTTCTTTTTCGTCATATATGAACAGTGAAGTTGCTGCTTTTTTTATCCGAAGAATAATTAGAAGTACTTGCTGATGGTGTCTAATAACTAAACTGCAGAAAGAGTTCCTGGACAAATATGAAAGTTTTGCTCAACTCGTAGCAAGAATTTATCCGAACGAGCATATTCCTGCTGTCTCGGATATGAGAGATCTATTGGCATCCATGTAGAGCACACGGGTTGTATAATTAGAGCTCAGTATATTTCATTATTTTGTTGTTGTAATGTTGTATNGGGTTGCCGTTCCTTTTTATATTGGGTCTGAAATTCGATTTGTTTTATTAGATCCCAACTCTTGTATATCATAAAACCCAGATACATGTGTGTAACGATTATTTCTCTCTTTTTTATGAGCTTCGCTAGCAGTAACACCGGAGGAAAAATAATGTGAGAGCGTTGTGGTAAATTATATGCTTTGATTGATGATTTTGTTTTTTTATCAATATTGCCTTTTTTTGTTCTTTTGTCATGCCATGAGCTAACTTGTAGTTGGTATAAAGCGTGATTTATAGATTACTAAATGAATATTTTCGTGATCTAAGTAGAGCATTTTTAATGGTGGTAGTTCATTTTCAGCTATTATCTTTTACACTACTTAAATTTTGTGAATTTTCACATTTAACGTGTGATTTGTAATGAAATGTAATTTTACGATGGGGCAAATTTTATTTGCTCCTAATTATGAAGATATACTGAAGTATGAGATTTTCAGTTACCAAATAAAATATAATTGCCTTATTCTGATGGGGCAAACTTTATTTGCACCTAATTATGAAGATAGTTATGGGATTTTCAATTATCAAATAAAATATAATTGTTTTATCCTTAAATTGCACGGGTTATGGGAATTTTAGTTCTCTGTTTTGAATGGACAATGTATATATTGTTGTTGTAGTCAGTATATATTCAGTATATACTGCGTTTTTTATTTACATAACATTTTTATCTAACCACAATTGTGGTATTTGAACTTTGGTTCAGTAAATTGCGTTTATAGTCAATATATATTTAGTATATGTTGCGTTTCTTATTTGCATAGTATTTTTTATCTAACCACAATTATTTAATTTTTTTTTTTTCAGTACATAACCTGTAATATACATATCACAAACTGATCATGAATCACAACAGGATGATCCCAAATAAAAGCCAAAATCTTTTGACAAAGTTCAAGAATTAGAAGTTTATCAATTGAATAAAAACAAATGAAACCGGGCCAAATGAGACACATGAAACACGGGCCAGTGAAAATATATACTAAAAATACACGCAACATTTATTGTCGACATCTCCACGAGCCTGAGCTTCGGGTCTCGCCTTCCTCATCTCCAACTTGACCTCCCTGCTAGGAAGGAGGAGAAGAGGGACACGCAGCCGTCGGAGTCCATTGTTGGCTCTTAAAAAAACAACCGGATGGATCGAAAAAAAAGTCACCACATCTCCGACCCAAGTGATTAAATTCAAAATAAAACTCAAGAAATAAAAAACATCCATAATTTCACAATCGCTCAGAATAATGAAAACGATGGTATAACTGCGATTTTCGGTGATTTTCTACTCTGCCGAACACGGCGGCAGATCCAACATTATTCCGCCAATGACGCATCTATAGGATGATGGTGAATTGGGCCTGGACGACCCGACTTCATAACTCGATCCGAAAAACCTCAACCCGACTTCAGAACTCGACCGATCGAGAGAAAAAAAAAAAAAGAGTGAAAATTCAATTGTAGGAGAAGAGATAAAAATTAAGCGTAGAATTGTAGTAGAAGAAGAAGAAGAGAGAGAGAGAACAAATTTTAGGTAACTAATCCCATTAAATCAGTCTTAATTACATATAATATATCTATATCTATATTGCTTAATTGGAGTCTTAATTACATATAATATATCTATATCTATATTGCTTAATTGGGATTGTGTGGAGAGTAATTTTCTCTTTTTTCCAGCAGCCCATTTTTCAGCTTCAAATTTCAGCAGCTACCGGCCCTGCCCTGAACTCCTTCAAAGAACTCGGCCCATCCGAGCCTAAATCCTCAAAAGACCAAGTATGCGATTAACTCGGCCCAACTCCTATTTTCAATATCAAGTCTTTATTTCACTTGGCCCAACTCCTATTTTCAATGTCAACCCTCATCAAGACCTTCTCCTCAGATGCAGCAGCCCACAAAACTCCATCATCTCCACGATCAGCCGCCACCACCAGCCATGGAAGCCCTAGGCTAACGAACCTCCCTCAATCTCGGCGTCCACACATCACACGGCTCCCTCACCCTGTCAGTCCCAACTCAAAGTCCCAGAATATTCCAAGTCCCCTCAACGTGCCAAGCTCCGCCGGCGATCAAAGGCTCCAGATTCCAGGCGAATACGAGTAGCATCAGCCCGACGGCGAGAAGGCCAGCGCACGCCGGCGATTCGAACGCCACCAGCGACGAGGCGAGCCATTCACAGCGCCGGAGAGCCACCAGTTGCCGGCGAGTCAGGATCGAGCTCCTCCGTGACTGAAGCAGGCCGAACAGAACCTGGCCGGAAGCAGCCTTGTCCAGCGGCTGAGACACCTTTTTCTGGTACACCGGGAGCAGCCGATTTCCGGCAAGGAGCAGTGAACGTCATTCGAGAGCCGGCGACCGTGATCGGGCCGAACCAGCGACACTAGGCTGAGAGCAGGTGACACACGGTCGGGAGTGGCAGCAAGCCGAGCCGTTTCCGAGAGCCGAGAATCCCAGCCATTGACACCGAACCTATCTTCCTTCACCTTTTCCCGAGAGAGGTATCTTAGCTGAGCCGAGTTTATCCCCTTTTTTTTAAGCCGGGTTCAATGTGTTTAGTGTTCCTTTTCTGTTAAGAAGAACTAGCGGGAAAGAAGAAGAATAGGCATGCTTGAGTTTTTAATTAAAATCCAAGAGGAACTTTGACATATTTTGGCTTTGTTTTGATTGAGTTGCTGAAGCCTTTATCGTATGAATTTTATAATTGGACGAAATTATTTAAAAAGCTCAAGCCTATTTTATAAGCTTCTTTAGATAGTTTTTCAAATAAGTTCGTTGTAATTTTTATTTAAGCTATTTTAGGTAAAACTAACTAATAAGTTAGCTTATAGCTTATCAGTAATTTTTGAGCTTATGACTATGTTTGGTAAAATTAGCTGATAGCTAATAAACTAGCTTATAGCTTCTCAATAATTTTCGAGCTTATAGCTTATAGCTTATCAATAATTTTCGAGCTTATAGATTATAGCTGAAAAGCTAGCTTATATGATACAAGTGTTTAGTGAAATTAGCTGATAAGCTAACTGAAATAAATATTTCAACGAACTTATTTAAAAAGCTACCCAAAGAAGCGTATTAAATAAGTTCGTCCTACCAAACGAAACTTATTTAGGTTTTGTAAAACTAGCTGATAAGTTAGCTTTTAGCTTATATGTAATTTTTCAGCTTATAGCTTATAGCTGAAAAGCTAGCTTATATGATAAAAGTGTTGGTAAAATTAGCTGATAAGCTAGCTTTTCAGCTAGCTTATATGATAAAAGTGTTGGTAAAATTAGCTAATTTCTAAAATTAGCTAATTGTTGTTTGCCTCACTCACTTGTTTTGTTTGCTTTACTTGTTTGCATGGGTTAATCAACCCGTTAATCAAAACCCTTAATAATTATTAAATTATAAATCTGTAGATTAAGAGGAGTCGAGCCCTCACGCTAGGGTTGCAAACGAGCCGAGCCGAGTCGAGCATTGGCCTTATCGAGCAGGATTGAATTTCTCTTTAAGCTGCTCGAGCTCGAGTTCGAGCTCGCCTCGATAAAAAATTACAATAGCACGAGCTCGAGTTCGGTTCGAAATTTTCAAGCAACTTTGTCATATTACCATTAAGTACATATAGTAATATTATGATACATAATTTTAGTAATTTACCATATATCTCGAGCCGCTCGCGAGCCGCTCAACAATGTAAAATATAGGCTCCAGCTCGACTCGAGTTCGGTCTAACTCGAGCTCGGGCCGAGCTTTGACTCGAGCGCTCGCGAGCGGCTCGCGAGCCCTACCTCACGCAGTTCACCAGCATTTCATACATTCATCATCAGTAGTAAGGTGATGATTTCTATGCTATGTCTTATTCTTAATAATCGCAAGATATTATAGTTAAAGTATGTGAGTATTTGCCTGAGATAAACAAGCAAACAGTTAGATCTCACGTTGTAGGCTGGGACGAGTCTCATGTATCCAGCGGTGAGAGTGTGTACATACGAAATAACCATCCATTATAGGCTGGGACGAGTTCCATGTATTCAGTATGAGTTCAGCTGAGTCGAGTTTATTCATTTCCATGTGTACATACTAAATAACCATCCATTATAGGCTGGGACGAGTTCCATGTATTCGGTGAATGAGTTCAGATGAGTCGAGTTTATTCATTTTCATGCTGCTATTATGGTATTTGTTATTATTCTAAATAATCGTATACTATAGTCTATCGGTGAGCTAGTTGTTTGTTCACCCCCCATAATTATCATTTTTCAGTTGAGCAGCTGGTGCCGGACACGAATTGGCGAGAGGGTGGTCTAAATAGTGTTATTTATCTTAGGCTTCCGCAAATAGTATTTGAACTCAATTCGTGTTTTAGTTATTTCATGTTCTAAGACTGGAATGTTTTAAGTTGATCGATACCAAGTATTTAGAAGTTTTTATGCCTTGATTGTTGAGAAGCAAGTAAGAAGCTTGGGAAGTGATTTCCCTAAAAGACCTGAACTGTGGTCCTTAGGTTGAGTTTTAAAGAAAATGAAGGAAAGAAAGAAAGTATTTTAGGAAGGTAGAAAAGAAAGAGTTTTTAAGTAACTACTCTAAGAAAAGTTTTTAAAAGTTAAGTTGTTTCCGAAACGTTTGAAATTATTCTGAAAAATCCGTGTTTATCAAAATATAAATAGAGGGTGCTTACAAGTTTCATAACTTTTATTCTCATAATTTCAAGTATCAGTCCAATATCTATTTTATAGAAACAGTTGTATTGAAAATTTGGATGTTGCGCCAAAACTACCATTTGTTACACTTTTGTCACTGAGCTTTGCCCGTTCTAACCCTTGAAGTTTGAAGTAGTTGTCTTCTAAGAAGTTTCTCTTAGTTTCTGTTTCTACTTAATTTAGTTATTCCAAAATATGTAAATTGGGTCATTTGTCGCATTATATCATGTTGTTTATTCATCTCCATAGAACTCGCCAAGCCTATCACAACCCTCCTCCTTTACCAGGGTTTGGGACCTGCTATGTTGAGACAACATAGGCGGAGTTATATCATGTTGTTTATTATTAATAATTATCTTTTGTGTTTGTTGCTAAAACTCAGGAATTTGATGAGGAACTGTGGGGGCTTGTAGTTCGTCGAGCACGTGAATTGTGATCCGCACACACATCTTTTTTTTTTTTTTCTCAATTTCATTTTCATTTCTGAATTTGTGATTTCTCAATTTCAAAACAACCAATGAAGCTAAAACCCTCTTTCATGGCGTCTCCACCTCCTAATTTCCTCCCATCGCAGCCATAAAATCCTCGAAAATCCTCACAAATGATTCTGTGGACAAATCAAATTCTGAGTTCCATCCCACCACGCTCAACTCAAACCCCATTAAAATCAACTTCAAAATCTCATTCTTCGCTCACCAATTTAGCTTGTTCAGTGAGCGTTGGACCCAGGAGAAGGTAAGTAAATTCCCGCACTATCTTGTATTTATTGTTTTCTCAGCCAATGGAAGCTCCTGCTTATCAATTTTTCCTTTTTCCTTTTTGTAATAAGTGAGGGTTTTTCAGGTGTGATTTATATGATTTGCACCACGAGCTGGTACCATATGCCGAGGCCTGGTCTTGGCAAAAAGCCATTGTGAAGGAGAAGAAAGCAAATTACCAGAACAATGTAAATTTAGCTGATTGCTTGATTGTCCTTCAACACCATCCTGTATACACATTGGGCACTGGTAGTTCGGAAGAGTACTTGAATTTCGATGTGAAAAATGCACCTTTCGATTTGTACCGTACGGAACGTGGTGGGGAGGTTACGTATCATGGCCCTGGCCAGGTATTAATTTTTTTTCTGCATTTTTATTGCTCTTATTTGTCATGTTCGTAATTAATGGTTTGAATTGGGACTTGGAATGTGTTTGCATAAACTTCTAAGTCTTTTAGTAGAAAGGGTTCAGTTTGGTAGAAGGTAAAAGACGAATTAGCTGAACAAAATTTCTTGGTGAATAAGTTTTGAAAGTGCTTATTTGTTAGTAAATAGTTAGTCCCGAAGAAGAATAAAAAATGTAACTCCGCCTGCCTTAGTTATAGGTTCTCTTTCAGATTATGAAGAATAGGTTCTGAAGTTGGTATCTGAAATGCTAGTAATGACATTGCTATTTCTGCCGAAAGTTTTATTCAATGCCTTTAGTAATTGCATGACATGCATCCTCAGAAGTCGTGATAAAAATATGATCTTTGACTGAATGAATGAGACACGTGTCTCCACATGTTTGTCATGCGCTGCTTTAATTGCCTATTGTAATGCAGCTGGTTTTGTACCCTATTATCAATCTTCGGCACTACAAGATGGATCTGCATTGGTACCTGAGGGCACTTGAAGAGGTGGTTATTCGTGCTCTCTCATCAGCATTTGCCATTCAAGCTTCGCGTGTCGAGGGCTTAACCGGTGTTTGGGTTGGTATGCCTTGCTATTTGACTTTCCTATGCTCTTTTTTTTTTTTCAATCTAAGTGTGCACATTCTGTCCTTTTCTTGAAACAAATTGATTTTGAAATTCAGGTACTCCTTAGTTACTTTTAGGGAACACATCAAATGTGCAGGATTATGATATTTTTCGATATTCTAATTAGATGTTTTTCTTTGTAATTTTGACAATCATTTTGAAAATTGTTAATCAAAAGGTCATATAGTCAGTATTCTACAATTGGATGTCAATATGGAAATTGGAGAGGATTCCCTATGTTGGACTTCATTTTCTCCTAGATTACCAGTGTTGAATGTAATTTGAAATGAATCTGAATTTTTAACATGGAATTCTTGGACATAGTCAATTTAATAATTTTTTATATGGTTGCATTCATGCTTTCATAGCAAAAACTATTTTCTTCGTAAATTAGGCATAATTGTAGAATTGAGTCAACAACGATTATTGGTTTGTTTGGGAAACACCATAAGCTATCTATAGTTTATTTAGTTAATTGAATCAAATCACTTCAAAGTAACACACTTAGGGGTTTGTATGTACCCAACCAGTATTTGAAATTCATAGATGAGAAACAAATGTCAAATGTTAAATGTTGTAATCTTAAACATAAATGGATTTTTCTTGGGATTAAGCTTTTTCCCTCAAGGATAGTTTTCACTATCAACCCCTTATATTTATACGCTTTTTACAATCGCTGCCTTTCATTGACATCTTGCACCTGAGCTCCAGGTAATGAGAAATTAGCAGCCATTGGCATAAAAGTTTCGCAGTGGATAACTTATCATGGCTTGGCATTGAACATCACCACAGACATAACGCCCTTTGACCACATAATCCCATGTGGGATTCAAGACCGTCAAGTTGGGAGTGTAAAAGGTCTATTGAAAGAAAAATTTCGGCAGAAAGGGTACAGAGAAGGTGATGAAATTGGATTTGATGATTACGAATTGATTGATATTGCTCATAAATCACTCATCAAGGAGTTTTGTGAAGTTTTCCAATGTGACTTAGGTGTAAATTTATGCGAAAAAGAGACTGGAAGTTTTGTCGACCCGTTATAGAAGAGAGATGGGAAAAGGGGGGAAAAAAGTGGCCCTTTACTTTTAAACTTACAAATGCTGATTTAATGTATTGTAAACACTGTTGGAATAGAAATAACATTTTTGCAGTTGGACTCTTGAGGAGTATACTCAATTTGGAAATATCTGTTGGCTAATGTGCTCAGGTGGAAACGAAATAATGTTGGCTTTGGTGGATATTGTTCTCCATCTTTTTTTATATATATTTTATTTATCCTTTTGATTTTATTTTTTAAAAAATATTTTAAGCTAACTCTTATATTTAACTATGTTTTTAAGGAACAGGTGACATGGTACCATTTTTGACATGGTTTCTGTGATTGACATATATGGTTGTCAGCTACTTTTATTTAAAGAAATGATTGACATTCGATCACATCTAGCAATGACCAAATAAACATATAAAAAAAAAATGATTTTTTGTAGCAGCATCCTTTCAACACAGCCAAAAGGTTTGAAAAGTTTTATTGTAAAAGAATGATACAAGAGCTATTCCAATAATCACCTATTAGATGACATTAAGTTTCTCAAAAGCCATA